GGGAAATAACATATTGCATATCCAAAAGAAACACATGGTCCTCAGGCACCTTCAAGGTGAGTCTAGCAAATTAATAATGACATAAGCAAAGCAAAGTTCATAGAAGCTGATCTCTTAGTCTTGAAAGTGGATGTTACTCTGTTGTTTTGGCTGCAAGGGACTGACACGGATGACATGATGCAGGTGGGTTTTCCTTGTTGACCCCCCCCCCCCCCCAATCTCCATATGAGAAAATTTGCATGGGAAAATCACTGGTCCATCATTAAATCTGAATGCTTTTCCAGCATGAGCATAGGTCTTATTGCATTCTGCATTAAATTATGTGCCCAATGCATGTATTACTTCAATTTCCATGTAAATCCAGACTAACCAATCTCTCTTATTCTAAAACTTTCCCTTCAGAATACGCAAAGCAGAAGATCAAAGTTGATCTCAGGACATAGTCATGCCTTCTCACATACTCCTCAGCCAATGCTTTTTTCCTCTATACGTCTTCAGGTTTTAGTCCTGCTAGAGCAACTATACAAAATATTTCCAATTTCCCCCAAACAATACCATGGAAATAAATTGGTACTTTCACCAGGCATCATCCATCACTATTAAAGAAGCACAAGGAGCAATTAGGATCATTGTGTGGTGTAAGAAAATTTGTTTGGTGTCAATGCATCATTCACTGTGGGTGAAAGCACTCTGGTTTAAACATGCCTCGGATGTCGTTACAAAGAATACTAAACTATCTTGGGCTGCATTGTCTCCCTGCAATTCAGATTTATTAGGCCCTGCCTGGAGGTTGCTGATGCAGAATAAAGTGGTCTCATTTTGCACTCAAGGTGAGATGGCTGACTTTGGCTGATGGAAGTTTCTTCTGAAATGTGTGAACCTAAAATCAGGGTGTTTTCAAAAATCTTTATCCTGAACAGCTGGATGGTTAATAGACTTCACTTTCTTTTCTGTTCTGATGTGAAAACAGTTTGAACATTGCACTCTAGGGAAAATTAAAACATATTTCTGGGACCATTACAGTTGTAAAGTTAAATTGTGAAAGGATGCAGCTACACAGTAGAATGAATGAGGCTTGCTACCAGTTTCACTGCCGTGGTTCAATGGCACAGGATTGTGAGAGTTGTCACCAGACTACAAAACCCATGATTCCACAGCATTGAGCCATGGCAGTTGAAATGGTATCAAACTGCATTAATTCTAAAGTGTAAAGGCATCTGAAGTCATGGACGGAGAAAATCAATTCTATTCAATGAGGCAAATTGGTGGCAAGAGTGATTTCAGTCACCTTCCATCTATCAATCTTCAAAGATTTGTCAATTTTGGAATAACACTGAAGTAGTGATGTGAGTTTGCTGAATCTTTGATGAATTAGGAGAAATGGCAGTATTCACTTGGAAAAAGTTATCAGCCTAGAGTAGCAGAAATAAAACTATTAGTAGTTAGTCTTCAAAATGATGACTCACATCCTGTTCAGTAGTTATGAGATTGTAAATTGGATGTACAATCTTATAACAGCTGTGGATTCACATTTACAGTTGTTAATGACTGAGAGTTACTCTACTCCGAACTCAAGAATGGGAAACGTAATGTTGGTGGTCAGGAAAAGAGATTTAAAGATGGGCTTAAAGCCAACCTCAAAAACTGTGGCATAGACACCAAGAACTGGGAAGCCCTGGCCCTTGAGCGCTCTAACTGGAGGTCAGCTGTGACCAGCAGTGCTGCAGATTTTGAAGACGCATGAATGGAGGGCAAATGGGAGAAACATGCTAAGAGGAAGGCATGTCAAGTCAACCCTGACCGGGACCGCCTTCCATCTGGAAACCGATGTCCTCACTGCGGGAGAACATGTGGATCAAAAATAGGGCTCCACTTCTTACTAGGACTAATGGACAAAGACTTAAATCTAAATAGAAATGAGGACATTTTATTTACATACATCACCACAGCAGCATGCATAACTTATGCTAAACATTGGAAAGTGGAGCAGATCCCACAAACAGAACAATGGCTTGACAAACTTTCAGAGATAAAAGATATGGATAAATTAACCTTCTTTCTGCGACAATGTACGGGAAGACCAATGAAATGTACAGACTGGACAGTGTTGGAAGAATATAGCGGAAAATAAATAAGCTACTTAAGACAATTAAGAAAAGAAGTAAGAGAGATAATAAATATCTGAAAGAGAGCGGGATAAAGATACATGGAATAACTGTAACAAATAATGGGAGAAAAATAGTTATAGTTTAAGAGCTACCTGAAGTAAGAATGGAAGTCAACAATTTTTGTTTTATTTATTTATTTATTTATTTATTTAACTACTATTTTTTTCCTTTTTCTTTTTTCTTTCTTTTTTCTTTCCTTTTCCCCTCCACGGCCACACCATACCTCAGTTGTCCAAGTTCTGGGTTTTGAACTACATCCTCATCCCCTCCCCCTTTCTCCCTTCTTTTTCCCATTTCTCTCTTTATACTTCCCCAAACCTTTCGTTTAAAACATTGTATTTGAAAATGTCAATAAATATTAAAAAAAAAAGAATAGGGCTCTACAGCTACCTCTGGACCCACCGCCAAGACACGACATCTGGAAGACAATCATCCTCGAGCTATGAGGGATCACCTAAGTAAGTAAAGTATCACCACAAAATGCTACCTTTTCAGCCTGGTAGTCCCTTACTTAACCAAAGCATTTTCAGGATACTGCACACCAAGATGAACCATAAACAGAGGAGACCTTATTTCTCAGCACTCCAGTCTAAATGGGATGATGCTAGGCTGAAAAGGTAGGTTTTTTTATTGTAAAGGGGGGAGAGATAGCATCTCAGGAACTGAGCTGATGTATTTTTAAAATCAAATTCAAGTCATGACTTTAAAAAAAAATCAGGTCATTCCATGAAAGTTACCTTGGTGGAAGAGTTGCTCTCTTCTTACCTGAGTGAATCAATGAAATTCTTCATAGAGAAAGAAAGATAATGTGGTCATCTGAATGAGCTTCTGAACAAGTGTTTCAGTCTGTCACCTTCACAAGGTCTTGATCCTTCTCTACCAAAGAGTGCTGATGCCTCACCAAACTACAAATCCCAGAATTCTATAGCATCCAGACATGGCAAGTAAAGTGGTATCAAACTGTGTGTAAATGCATCCTCAAAACATGTACCACCACACTTTTCACCTTAAGAACAGACAAGCATCCCGAGCTCTGAGGATTACCTGGGAAGGAATACCACTGGAGCATTGCAGCACACCCAAATACCTGGGAGTTATTCTGGACCGTGCCCTGACCTACAAGAAGCACTGCCTGAATATCAAGCAAAAAGTGGGCGCTAGAAACAATATCATACGAAAGCTGACTGGCACAACCTGGGGATCAACCAGACTCAGTGAAGACATCCGCTCTTGCGCTTTGCTACTCTGCTGCTGAGTACGCATGTCCAGTGTGGAACACATCTCACCACACTAAAACAGTAGATGTGGCTCTTAATGAGACATGCTGGATTATCACGGGAGCCTTACACCACTGGAGAAATTACACTGTTTAGCCGGCATTGCACCACCTGACATCCGTCGGGAAGTAGCAGCCAATAGTTAAAGGACCAAGGCAGTGACATCTCCAGCTCATCCCCTGTTTGGGTATCAGCCAGCACGTCAACGACTTAAATCAAGAAATAGTTTTCTAAGATCTACAGAGACACTCGCTGGAACACCTCAGCAAGCGAGAGTCCAAAAGTGGCAGGCTCAAACCCAGAACCTCAATCAATGGTTGATACCAAATGAGAGACTCCCCCCTGGGCACACAGAAAACTGGGTGACTTGGAAGGCGCTGAACAGACTGCGCTCTGGCACCACGAGATGCAGAGCCAACCTTAAGAAATGGGGCTACAAAGTGGAATCCACAACATGCAAGTGTGGAGAAGAGCAATGCTGCGATACAACCTGAGCCCTGCTACATGCACAATGGAGGATCTTCTTATAGTAACACCAGAGGCACTCCAAGTGGCCAGCTACTGGTCAAATGACATTTAATCAACTACCAAACTTGCAAACTTTGTGTTTTGTTTGTTTGTTAAAAATGCAATACAACTGTTTGGCTTGCTCCTGACACAATAAATAAATAAACCACCATGCTATCACTGGAGGGATCCATGGCATTAATTTAAAATTCCATGTGTGCATTCAAGCCCCTAAAGGTTGGGGGCATTTGGACAATTTCCAATTTACTTATAGTACAAGCAAATCCAAGCCAAAAGGTGTATGTCTGCTTGTATTTACAGCTTATCTCTGGCATCTTTAAAATCAGGAGCTAACACCATTAATTGCAAACAAGGCACCGAGTAATTCGAAAGTACTCATGAAAGAACCCAGGCTTAACCGTCTCATAAAATTGAGCAGAGACAGATCTTCTGGCTTCCGTGTAATTCAAATTACAGTTAACTAAGACTGCAGAGCCCAAGAATGGAAAATCTTGACTCAAAAGTGGAGAGGTTTAAGACACCCACGAGCGAGACAGAACAACAGAGCAACAATTAAAATGAGATCTGCAATTTTAACCACAGATGTTGCTCTTCACAGAAGAAACATAACAATAAAAATTTTATTACGTTGCCTAAGCAGCCATTTTACCTAGACAAGATCTGTTCTGTCTGAAATGTTTTGTCACAATGCATTTGATCTCCTGGAGCAAGGGAGGAGTACCTGTGAATCTCCAGATGTTGTTGGATTATGAGTCCCACCTTATCTGGCAACTGGAAAAGCTGCCTGAAGTTGTTAGGGGTCGAATACCCTACAGAAGGCCATTACTTCCTACTCTTGTCCTAAAGAAGTGATCCTATGGGAACACAATGCCACATGAATACATACTATGAGGTGATATGCTACTCGCAGACATACTCCACTGTGGCTTGTGGAACTAGAGGTGCTTCACCCTTCTATTTTGTTGTGATTCCACCATCCAGACAACAGGACACCCTACTGAACATAAATGGATTCATCCAACTAAGGTACTTCTTAGGTATTTTATTTTTTTCCATCCTCACAACAGCCCTGTGAGGTAGGTCCCATTGAGTAAAGAAAGAAGGATAATGCATACACACTGACCTGCCTGCAGGTCAATAAGCCAGGCTTACCTGAAGCTAGGGGTGCATCTACATAAGTGGTTCTCAATCTTCCTAATGCCATGAACCCTTAATACAGTTCCTCATGTTGTGGTGACCCCCAACCATAATTTTTTTCGTTGCTACTTCATAACTGTAATTTTGCTACTGTCATGAATTGTAATGTACCGTAAATATCTGATATGCAGAATGTATTTTCATACACTGGGCCAAATTTGGCACAAATACTCAATATGCCCAAATATGAATACTGGTGGGGTTGGGGAGGATTGATTTTATCATTTGGGAGTTGTAGTTGCTGAGATTTATAATTAACCTACAATCAGGGAGCACTGTGAACGCCACCAACAATAGCACTGGGGCAAACTTCCAGAAATATGTGTTTTCTGATGGTCTCTGGTGACCCCTCTGAAATCCCCTCATGACCCCCCTCAGGGGTCCTGACCCCCAGGTTGAGAAACACTTATCTACATGGTAGAATGAATGCCATTTGCCACCACTTGAACTGCAATGGATCACTTCAATGAAAGTATGGTATTTGTAGTTTGGTGAAGCACCAGTACTGTTTAGCTGAGAAGGCTCAAGACCTTGTCAAGCTACCAATCTCAGGATTCCATAGCATTGAGTTACATGTCAGCTAAAGTGGTGGCAAATGGCATTCACTGCACAAATGCATCCCAGATTTCCCAATATTAACACTTGGAACTATGGATATTGAACATCCTTTTTTAAAAAAAACCTTCAACATGCACAAGGTGATTAAATAAAACCACTCTCGTGAAGGGTTGCCTGCAATGTTTACAACAGGAAACAATTTTGCACTGATGAAGAATGACCTTCTTGACCTGCTTCATTTCCTTTGTTTCCACATTATAATCTTGCTAATGTTTTATTCTTACACATACTACAAAACAATTTAAAAAGAACAGCATAAGATACTCTGTATACACTTCAAAATCTCAAGTGGACCAAAGTCTTTTTCAGCAACTTTATGGCTTTCAACAACTCCTTAGTTCACAGATGCTGTTCTCAATATCCAGTGGTTTCCTTGGACACGTGCAAATGGTAGCACAACAGTGTTTTATGTACAAGAACTTTCCATATTTCCCTTTCTCTCTCTTTTGTGCCTAGAGTTTCATGTAACTAAGAAAATGCTGCTTCCAAAGGCTTTGAGTTAAGGGTTCTAGATGGCCATGCTTTTGCTCCAAGCACTATTTGAATTGCCAAAGACAAAGAGACTGGCCTGAAGTCTGCTTATGGGTTGAAAAATAGACATGTTTTGTGTTGAACAGTGTTGAGGTATGTGGTAAGTATACTGTGACTTCTTTCAAAGATGGATGGCTGTTGCTAGAGGCCTCTGGGAGTGGAAATTCACCTTGTCTTGGCCAGAAAACCCCTAGAGAAGTCTAGAGGCATCTTGGCAGGCCAGGAACCACAACAACAGGCTTAGATCTTTCTCTTCAAGAGAGGACATCTCTTACCATGCTAGTTTACTTCAAACAGGACTGGAAACTATGGCTTTAAAAGCTGTTCTACAATAGTAAAATAAAAACTTCATGGTATAGGTCTGCTAGTGTATTATGGCTTAAATATAACTGCATATCAAGGTTTTCTTAAACCAAAATGCATTAGCAAGTATATCTAAGTGATATCTAAATTGACTGAATATAATTGTGTAGGGAAACGGGAAGGTGCCTTATACTGCAGTAGGCCATTGCTCCATCTGATTTTGTATAATGATGGGCAGGGAAACCCCAGTAGTTTCAGACAGGAGACTTTACCAGTTTTCCTGGCAATAAACACAAACCCTGTAAATTAGATGGTCTATCACTGAGGTGCAGCCCTTTCCCGCATGCTTCTCTGGAACAGGGGCAGAAAGCATTGGGCTTCTCAGATAATTCGGACCAGCGCCCATAATCTCTTAAAATTAGCCAAAGGTCAGAGAGCCAATGGGAAAGGACATCCAAAACATCTGAAAAGTCAAAAACTGAAGTTCAGCAAAGAACACATTCCCTGCAGATATGGACATCTGATTATACTGTGTGTACTGTGCTTTTTATGTACATGTGTTCTCCAACTAATTTGCCTTTACACCATTTACAACTAGTTTAGGAAAAGAAATACAGTGCAATTCCTGTCTGTATTGCTTGAAACTGAAAATTTCATCAACAGGACATTTTATACCATGCCATCCTATTTTGCGTGTTTTGAAGACAAATCATAATGCAGGGTGCTTAGGGCCTTCCTACACTTAAAACCCAGGATGAAACAAGTTTAAAAACCTGCTTCGTCCCAAGTTTCAGTCCCCACTCCCTCCCATCCCACAACCACAGACTTTGACTCACGATAGGATCCAGCCACCCCTCCCGCCAGTCCCTCATTTCCCCCAAAAAACTTACTGGAGGGACCTGCCAGCAGCACAGACCCCTCTGCAGAGTCTTCCTGATGTGAGAAAATGATGTGTCAGAAGGGGAAAGGAGGGAAATCCCTCCTCCCCCTCCCCACCTTCTCATGCACCATTTTGTCATGGTGCACTGCCAGCAGGTGGTGCCCCTAGTAAGTTTTGGGAGGGAAATGAAATGTGGGGGGAGGGGGCGGATGGACTCCAGGAGCCCGAAGAACCAGGAAGGCAGTGAGGATTAACTTCTAGGAATGCAGAAGCAGTCCCAGGAGTCAATCCCCACAGGCCTGGAACCTGCAAATATCCGGACCTTAGCTTAAGGCCCAGATATTTGCAGGTGTCAAATTAATGTTAAGTAAGCTGGGAAAACCGTTTACTTTTCATTAAACCAGGTTTACCTGAGGCGTCATTTGGATGCCTCAGGTAAACCCGTTACCTATCATGGGCTTTAGGGTCTGTGTAGAAGGTCTTCACATATAAGGCTGACACTGGAGAAGGCTGTGATTCAGCCATTCTCTCCTTTAGTCCTGGGTCTCATGTGATCATTATCAAACCTACTGGGACTCCTGCTGTCTCCCACTCAAACCTTGTTCTGTGGGGGGTGGCTATCATGGCAGCAGTAGCACCATCATTTGAGAAATGAAGATGATGGAAGCTGTTGTGCGGCAGCCCATCAAAGAGAGGCACCACACTGAGGGACTGCTGATGTTTGCTTGGACCCCAAGCATAAGAACAATGTTGGCACACAAAAATCGGTTATATCAGAAGACAATGGAACTATGATACATAGCGAGGAAACATGCAACAATATTTTCCAATTGTCTAGTAAGCTCCAACAGCATAGATTCTTCCATCACTCAAATTGAGATTTCATTTATATAATCAAATTGACAAAATTGTCTATTCCATTTGATTTTCTGAAGAATCTGCAGGTCCAGAATTGTAGGTCCAGCACCATAATCCATGTTGTTCTTCTGCATGCAACAGGTTTCTAAGGACTCCCTCTTCTTTGTTGCCATCCAAGATAGTCTTCATATAGCTCCAGTTGACAAATGACTCCCAACTGATAAGAAGAGTCATGTCATGATATTAAAATGACAGTGACCGAGGCTAGCAACAGGGTACTAATGGTCTGCCTGCTGCCGCCTGATGTCCTCCGCGTATGCACAACTGCAAACACAGCATTGGTCTGGTTTGTTGGAATGTCGACATTACAGATCATCCCTTCACAGCAGGAGATGCATTCCTGTTGGTTTTCATAAGACAGTATTATTGTTGGGAAGAGGGCTGCCACCCAATGGGAAAAATAAAATATTAGCAGAATAATCACCAGTTTTAATCCACCATGGAATGAGTTATATCTCCACATTTGCATGTGAAGAACATAACCATTCTGGAAACAACTGTTCTGCCGAAAAGATAGCATGCATACAGAGAGAGTCACAAGTAACAGAACAAAGATTTCCTCTTCTTCGATACAATTGCTCACCTGTCATCACTCAAACATACCTGCGTTAGAAATAGAGCTGAGAGGCATTTTGTTTTTTGGATTACAAATCCCAAATATGCCCAGTGGACAGATTGGAGGGAAGATTCTGGAAAATATTGTCCAGAAAAGTAATTTTCCCAGGTGTTGATTAAAAATAACCAAGAACATATTCAATATGTGCTACTTAATTCCCCGGAAAACCCCTGTTTTAAAATAAATCAGTCGAAGAGGTTTTAATCTATGAATCTAGGAGTAATCAATTACATCTACTTTAGGGATCATTATTACTGCTGAGGCATCATTTTTTCATCTTTAGACAGAAGTGGGATTAAAACAGTTCTACACCACACCAAATATAGCAGTAGCTTATCTAGCTATGCCTTAATCTTCATGGGCCAAAAAGGAAGTCTGTGTTTCAAGCACTTCTTCCTCCTCGTTCTCCTAAAAGGAACTGATTGACAAAATGGTCATCCATCACCACCCCTCAGCCTCATTGAATGGAAAGAAACAAAAGGGCCAGGAATTACAGTGAGGAAGTGTGTACTAAAATGCAAAGTAAAACTTAAGGTCATCAATAACACTATGTAACAATATTTGAAAAAATGTTCCTGGTTTGAAAGTGTAAAGGTTTCCCTTTGACATTAAGTCCAGTCATATCTGACTATGGGTGGTGGTGCTCATCTCCATTTCTATGCTGAAAAGCTGGTATTGTCCGTAGACATCTCCAAGGTCATGTGGTTGGCATGACTGCATGGAGTGCTATTACCTTCCCGCCAGAGCGGCACCTATTGATCTACTCACATTCCCATGTTTGCAAACTGCTAGGTTGGCAGAAGCTGGGGCTAACAGAGGGAGCTCACCCCACTCCCCAAATTCGAACCATCAAACTTTCGATCAGCAAGTTCAGCAATTTTACCCACTGTGCCTCCAGGGTCTCCAATTCTGTGGTACTTACTTTGAAAGTAAATGCTATATTCCAGAAACTTCATTTTTGTGACTGCCACAAACTATGTTGAATTGACTCGAAATATTCATGGAAAAACTATAGCAAAATGTGCTATAGGATTTTCCGCAAAATCATAATGCAGGGTGCTTAGGGCCTTCCTACACTTAAAACCCAGGATGAAACAAGTTTAAAAACCTGCTTCGTCCCAAGTTTCAGTCCCCACTCCCTCCCATCCCACAACCACAGACTTTGACTCACGATAGGATCCAGCCACCCCTCCCGCCAGTCCCTCATTTCCCCCAAAAAACTTACTGGAGGGACCTGCCAGCAGCACAGACCCCTCTGCAGAGTCTTCCTGATGTGAGAAAATGATGTGTCAGAAGGGGAAAGGAGGGAAATCCTTTCTATATATATAATGTTAATTTAAATATAACTTACTCGCTTCATCTGGATCAAAACAAATTAATCCCATATCTTGGAATTAATTCATTAAAGGGCAATTTGCTATACTATCATTAGTTGTCATTTACTATAATTACAACTAATTGTAATTTGCTATAATTAGTTATAATTTCAAAGAAAAAAATCTAAAGTCATTATTTTAATTACTATGGTATCGACTATTTAAGTAACATTGAACACTCTATACTACTTTAAGAGGTAATCAGGACAATTTGGGGTAAGCTGGGCATTTTTAGTAATTTTAATTTTGGTTTTGAATTCAGAAGCAACATATTCTAAGTGATTAGCATATGAAATTGATCTTTTAAAACATCGTGAAAACTATTAAAATTAAGAAATGAATGTTCACATTAGTTAACTTTTACATTGCATTAAGACAACTGCTAGTTAAACCATATGCAAATATTCTCTAAGCAGCCTAATGAGATGTGTGGCATCATAGGCCTGGACTACCAAATACAAAAGATCAAGAACCTTTATAGCCTAGACTATGTAAACTTTCTTCTTTAAAATATGTGTACAATCATGTCTCCATATTTACGGTTTTGATTTTTACATATATGATTATTCAATGATCTGATGAAAATCTTATCTCTAGGAATCTCTAGGTCTTCCAGTGAAATCCTGTAATCAGCTTCCAGTGAAAGATGACCATAAGGTCATGCCAGAACCTAGACATTCCTGGAGGAGTTAAAAAAAACAATTTATTTATTTGCTTTTCACTTTCACGGGGGTCCTGTGCCCCCACTAAATTCTCATCCACTACAAACTACAGCAAGTGTACTTTCTGCCATTACTCACACACAAATCCATGGACAAAGGCCTAAGAAAATGGTATTTCAAGGGAGTGAGGACTAACTAAAAGTGCTAATATGTGAATCCAATTTTCACATCAGCATTGAGTTTGCATGAACATACACAATCTTGCTTTTTTGTTCTGGTAGAACAGTAAGAAGCTCTTGTTTGCAACCCAGGAGCAGATTGTGTCAGGTTAAAGATTTGCCCAGTGACACGGGTTTATGGCCATAGCAGATCATCCTTGCGTACTGTATTTGATATTATGAATGTATAAGGGAATTTTAAGAAGATGACCGCTGTTCTAATTTAATGTATTAGATGGTAATCCACAGCTCCTAGCCTGGAGCTGTATTCTGGCCTATAAAAACTGGCAGGATTGCTGTTAGTTAAGCAGTAAGAGAATCTGACTTTGGTTACAACTTGTACAGGGATTCAGTGTTGCTTTATATTGTTCCATGATGTTGTTTTATAAATTTTACTATGTTATATTTTAAACTATTTTTTTCAGGCTTGTCCCCATGTAAGCCACCCTGAGTCCCTTTGGGGAGATGGTGGTGGGATACAAAAGTAAAGTTGTTGTTGTTCCAAGCTTCCTTTGGAAAGCTGGGTATAAAGGGGGTACTGAAGAAATACAAACACACCCTTGAAAGAGTGCTTTCTTTGGCATATGACTGCTTACCGTATGACTGGTTTCCTTGCGATGACGACAGCCAACAAAATGGCATTCTTCTCTGGTAGCACATTTTTTTGTGACAGAGGTGCTCCTTCCATGGCTGGTGAAGTGATGGACTGTTAAACAGTACTGTGTGTCTAAAGAATAAAAAATTACACCAAGAAGAGGACTGCATTAGTACCTTTGCATCATTCAAAAACACAAGCACAACCTCCTGATCAAAAATCAAGTTCTTATTCATGGCCGAGGACCTAAAATTGAATTATTGATATATAATACATAATTCTTCTTCCACTGTCCAACCCAGCACAGGCTTCCCACCCAGTTGTGGAACAATCTTTGGTTTCCTGCTTGGGAACATTTTAAATTGTTCTTCTTTCCATGTTATCTCCTCTAAAATTAAGTTTCTGGTCCTGTTACTCCTATCTGCATATTCACAAGCACAGAGTATGACATTTCAAAAAAGAACTACGTATTTTACACATCGCTCCATGATTACTCAAGAGGTCATTACTGTCCGTCCAGATTCTTCCCTCGCTGCTCTTTTTATGTTAAAATAGACTAACACTATCACTTTGAAAAGGGTTACTGTTACTGTTAATGCAGTCAGAAAATAAGTTCTGCATTAGTTGTTACTAATGAGTTATTTGTGCAAGTGAGAAATATGAGAAATAAAGAAAATGCTGCCTGGTTCTGCCAGGTATCCAATTCATATTTTGAAATATTTGAGACAAATGCAAAAGTGATTACAAAGCAATTCTTTCATACCACACTCTTCTCTGCAGGTGCCTTGGGTTACAATCCTTGCAAATATAGCACTTGGAGCAGAGGTTTTCATCTTTCTAAAATATGCAACTGCTGCCGCACATTTTCAGAGTTCCTATCATTTTGAACAGTCCGGTATTTTGTGTAGCCAACCTGGCAAAACCACTCTCTTCCACCCTCTTCCTCCCAACACTCACACTTAATCTTTGTCTTCCTGGCAACAGTATCAGTTTCTCCCATTTGGGCATAAGGGAGAATGCACCCCCCCCCCCACCCTCCAAAAACCCAAAACAGGCTGATATTGTTTTTGAGATGGAAACATTCTGAATAACCTGAGTCTCAAGTTCTGGCAGAAAACTATGTTCCCTGGAAACATAGTGAATTATAGCCTTGACTATTTCAGGCAAACTTTTGCTTGCTGTTTCAGAAAGAAACTACTTGCCAAAATATTAAAATGTAGAAATTACTTACTTCTTAGTCTCATTTCTTAGGGCCCTTCCACACAGTCATACAACCCAGAATCTCAAGGCAGAATAAACCATAATATCTGCTTTGAACTGGTGGCAAATCCACAGCGTGGAAAGCGTGCAAGCTCCTGCATTTTTGCAAGGGGCGTTCAAATGATGCCCCATGCAAAAACGAATTAATTCAGGAAAACTCTGCTTTGTCCCAAATTAATTTCATAATGGGTTCGATGCATGCCTTCTTGAAAGGTGTGGGTTGAACCCAATATTTCTGCTGTCTGGACTGCTCCCTCAAAATTTCTGGACTTCTGAGGGAGCAGTCCAGACAGAAGTTCTGCTTTTTCCTAGGGTAAATTTGCTGAGAAAACGGTGAGGGCACCTCCCCAAACCCCAAACCAAAACTGGGAAGAGGAAAATTGCTCCTGCTCCCCCTTCTCCTGGTGCGTCATTCCTCCTGCCCCCCTCCCTTGCATGTCATTCCTACGCATGAGGAGAGCTCCTGCACCATGCTAATGGCGGCCAGGTAAGTTCTTTTATTTTTAAAAGGGTTTTAGGTGGAGGGGGGTTGAGGAGAAAGGGTTGTTTCCCTGTTCTCCTGGTGGGTACCAGGAAGACATGTAGACAATGCCCGTGGAAAGCGTGGGCTTTTTAGGCAGTGTGCAGACTACAGTCTGCCCCAACCTGGGCATTTTAAACCCGGGTCAAAGCAGACTTTACCCCTGTCTGGAACCACCCTAGGTTATCTGAGTTCACACTACCATATATCCAGGTTCAAAGCAGATATTGTAGGATTTCATTCAGATGTGTGGAAGGGTCCTAAGATAGTGGGAAAGGTGCTGTGATCACCGGTGTAAGCCATTCCTTTTCTACATAGAAGAGTCAGTTGGATAATCTGATATATTTGCTGCAATATTGTGGTCTGGCCTGGTGCATGGGGGTGATATCATGAGTTACCATACAGGTGGCACCAAAGCTAGCGGAGTCACTATTGTTGCTAATGTTGTGCATGCAGTCTCTACAAGGTGGGCTCCAATCATGTGATTCATTAAAGAGCATCACATAGTTGGAGCCCATCTTGGAGGTCCTTCCTGCATAATCATCGAGAAGCTGAGACAATCAGTAACTAGGTGGGAATTACATTTGATATCTGAGAAGGGAATCTTTGGCTCTCCAGATATATTGAACTATTGCTCCCATGTTTCCTTGACTTTGTCCAAGCTGGATGAGACTTTGGGGAGTTGAAATCTGAAGCACCTGGAGGATCAAGGTTTCCCTACCTTTTTAGCAAGGACATAAACTGAAGCTACTGATCAGCAACACCTTTAGCATTCATATCACATATGAAGGACACATAAACTATAAATGTCAGTTTTGATCAGCATGGCAACATGAAGAAAGAGATGCACTCAGAGGAGGAGCAGGCTGAGGGCACTGCCTGCTCACTGCTCTTCCTATGAAATACTCTTCCAGTCCGCAAATTTCTAGAAATGTGCAGAGGTACTGAAAATTGTTCACAACCAGATCTCCTGCATTTGCTGTGTTCACATACAGGGGCGGCCCGTCCATTACGCCAAGTAAGCTGTTGCGGAACACTTTTTTTCCCAGGGGCGCAGAGGCACCTCTGTAAATGCCCCTCCAGACATTCCGGAAAACCTACAACTCCCCGGTTGTTGTTCTTATGGCTGAACACCAGCTGGGCCCACACGGGGAGGAGGGAGCCTACAAGGGTTCGGAGGACTCTGGGGTGGGGGGAGAGAGAGAGAGGCCTCACCGCTGTTGCCAGCTTCTGGGCCTGAGGGGAAGGGCAAGGAGGAGGACAACAAAGCCCCTTCCCCTTTAAACATGCAAATGAGCTCCGCGGGGCGCCTGGGTGCTAATCCCGCCCCTGCGTGCCAGCCAGCCAGCAGTCAGAGTCCCCGCAGCTTCCCAGGGAGGGAGGAAGAGGGGGTGATGCCACGCGGTCCCTGCCCCCTTTGCAGCCGCTGCCATTTTGAGTGGAAGAGACGGGAGCAGCGGCGGAGGCTCCCTTCGTGGCCTTACGGGGAGAACGAGCACTTGTCCGCCAAAGAGGAGGAGGAGGAGGAGGAACCCCGGCTCGGCCTGAGGAGAAAGAAGGGGAGGGGGAGGGTCAACAGACACGGACTGCCCCCTCCCTTCCCCCCTCCAAAGGGCAGGTCACCCTGGGATGCCTGTCGCTAGGTTCTGGGTGCCATGGCCTCCCCGCGGGGTCTGTCAGGATCTCATGGAAATGCAGGATGGAACCGCTTTCCACGCCACAGCCAAGTTCCCTTCGTTTCTTCCTAAAGCTCGGGAGGGAGGGAGGGAGGGAGGGAGGGAGGGAGGGGGCGGATCTCATTCTGCAAATGATTCTGAGGCATAGAGGCCAATATTCTGGGGGGGGGGATCCAGGTTAGAAATGACCCTTGTTTATTATTATCGTATGCAAATTATCATGGTGCACAAACGTAAGTGTTCTCAGGAAAAATAAATCCAGGTTCCAAAGCCAATAAACACTATATTTAAAAAAAGAAAGAAAGAAATGATTGGAACTCTATTGAAGAGAAGAATAAATAGAAATAAAAGGCAGGATGGAAAGAAGGAGCTGCTTGGAATTTTAGAGGAAGGAAATAATAATAAATAATAAAACTTTATTTATACCCTGCTACCATCTCCCCAAGGGACTCACTACCTCTGAGTGTTTGCCATAGATGCAGGCGAAACGTCAGGATAGAATGCCTCTACAACATGGCCATGTTGCCCAAAAAAACCTACAACAACCCAAGGAAGGGATAGATCGATCGAGAGGGAAGGAAGGAAGGAAGTAGGAGGAAAGATGAGTATAAGGAAGAGATAAAAAAGGAAGGACAAAAGGAAGGGAAGGGACAGATTAAAATAGATTAATGTTGAAAAAACACTGGTTCTGGTTATTGAGCTTTGCTCTGAATCCTTTTAATGAGGTTTTGGTATTCTACTGTTTTTAATTGTTGATTAATTAGATTGTTGATTGTTATATTTTGAATGTGTTTTTACCTGTTTTACTCTGTAGTTACTGGCTTGGTCCCACTTGCCAGCTGCCCCGAGTCCCTTCGGGGAGATTTTTATTTATTTATCGTGTCAGGAGCAACCAAACAATTGTATTGCAGTTTTAACAAATAAACAAAACACAAAGTTTGCGAGTTGCTGATTAAATGTCTTTTGACCAGTAGCTGGCCACTTGGAGTGCCTCCGGTGTTGCCGCAAGAAGGTCCTCCATTGTGCATGTGGCAGGACTCAGGGTGCATTGCAGCAGGTGGTCTGTGGTTTGCTCTTCTCCACACTCGCATGTCGTTGATTCCACTTTGTAGATGTCGAGTTGGCTCTGCATCTCGTGGTGCCAGAGCGCAGTCTGTTCAGCGCCTTCCAAGTCGCCCAGTCCTCTGTGTGCCCAGGAGGGAGTCTCATTTGGTATCAGCCATTGATTGAGGTTCTGGGTTTGAGCCTGCCACTTTTGGACTCTCGCTTGCTGGGGTGTTACAGCAAGTGTCTCTGTAGATCTTAGAAAACTATTTCTTGATTTAAGTCGTTGACGTGCTGGCTGATACCCAAACAGGGGATGAGCTGGAGATGTCTCTGCCTTGGTCCTTTCACTGTTGGCTGCTACTTCCCGGCGGATGTCAGGTGGTGAGAAACCGGCTAAGCAGTGTAATATCTCCAGTGGTGTAGGGCGCAGACACCCTGTGATAATGCGGCATGTCTCATTAAGAGCCACATCCAATGTTTTAGTGTGGTGAGATGTGTTCCACACTGGGCATGCGTACTCAGCAGCAGAGTAGCATAGCGCAAGGGCAGATGTCTTCGCTGTATCTGGTTGTGATCACCAGGTTGTGAGAGAAGGACATGAGAGAAGCCTCCTCACAGGATTGCAAGACATCTGGGCATCCCCTGGGCAACGTCTTCGTAGACAGCTGATTCTCTCACTCCAGAAGCAACCAGAAACTCCACCAATGATGGAATTGAACCAAATATGGCACACAGAACTCCCACGGTGAACAGAAAATACTGGAAGGGTTTGGTGGGCATTGACCTTGAGTTTTGGAGTTGTAGTTCACCTACACCCAAAGTGCACTGTGGACTCAAACAATTAAGGATTTAGTCCAAACTTGACACAAATACTCCATGTGCCCAAATATGAACACAGATGGAGTTTGGGAAAATAGACCTTGACATTTGGGAGTTGTAGTTACTGGGATTTATAGTTCACTTACAATCAAAGAAGATTGGCCCAACAATAGAATTGGGCCAAACTTCCCACAAAGAATCCTGTTTTCACACATGCATCAAGAAATTACATATATTAGAAACCAACTTTCTCATTACTTTCTTTTCAAGATCACCAGACTGGATCACAGCTATGCATGGCAGGGGACAGCTTGTGTGTGTGTTTGTGTGTGTGTGTGTGTTTGTATGTGTGTGTGTGTGTGTGTGTGTGTGTGTGTGGCATAGTCCAACTTCGGCCCTCCATGTGTTTTGGACTTCAACTCCCACAATTCCAAACAGCCAATAGGAAGTCCAAAATACCTGGAAAGCCAAAATTTGTCCATGCCCATATATATATATATATATGAATGAGATTGTTGGGGGGGGGGGGGCGCCAAAATACTGTTTGCTTACCATTGAAAATTACCTAGGGCCGCCTCTGTTCACATATAGGTAATTTACTTTCCCCCTTTCCTTTAGACACCTAAACTGCATTGCTAAAGGTTCCGGTTAAGTTTGAAATTGTAATGCTAGAAATGTGGGGACTGAAGGAAAATTTCATGGAAGAGGAGGGCTTATTATTCCTATTTAGGAAGACAACCTTCTTATGTTTCCTCCCAGTAGCTACCCTACTATGGAGAATTAAAGTTAGGCTGCTTCTTTTTGAGTTGATTTCCTGGACTAGTTCATGTGAATTCCTAAAAAGGAATTCAGGCAAACAGCTGCATGTATCCTGAAAGCATCTGACTAAACGTTAAATTCTACTTAACCACTTGATGCTGAGATGATGGGGTTGGTTGGAAAAGCCCAAGCAAATGCATTTTACTATCTTACTGTTCTCCACACACTTACTCTGAGGACACCATTTATCTTCAGCCCATCTGTTGCAGTTGTAATTATCTACAACATTGTCACACGTGAAACACTTGAAGCTGCTTGGATACGGAGTAGCTTTAAAATCAAAAGGAGACAAAGAAAACAGTTAATGGTTTACCATCTTGAATCCAAATTCCCCTCCCTTCCAATTAAGTCATAGAATGAAGGAAAACGGAAAGGAATAAATGTTAAATTCCAAATTTATCTCCTTTTACTATGTTCCTAAGCATATTTATTCAAATGTAAGCCCTTCTGAGTTCAATGGGCCTTAGTTCCCTAGTAAGCAGGTTTACTAATTCAGTCTTATTTGTTGTGTTTTATTATTCACAACCTGCCTTCTTTAATCAACTGGAGGTGAAGCTACACTGTTGAATTTATGCAGTTTGAAGCTACTTTAATTGCCATGGTTCAATGCTATGCAATCCTGGGAATTGTAGTTTGGTGAGATTTTAGCATTTTTTTCAGTGAAAACTGAAGACCTTGTAAAACGACAGCTTCCAAGATTCATTAGCATTGCCCCGTGGCAGTTTAAGTGGGGTCAAACTACATTAATTGTACAGTGTTTGGGAAGCTGAAAAGAGTTCACAGACACAAAGGGGTGGTGGTGATAAAACAATTCAAAGATCTACAAGATAAGATACCATATTTACTCGAGTCTTAACGTACCATCGAATCTAGTGCACACCTCAATTTGCAAAACCCTGAAACCTAAAAAAGTATTTATGATATTATGTGAATCTAATGCGCACCCTAATTTTGGGAAAGTAATTTAGTCAAAAAAGATGAGCATTAGATTCAGATAAATACGATACTTCCCTAAATGAAATATATAAACAGCATATATTTGAATAGACAAATTGAAACATATTGGGCCTTGAGACAATCTTCCAAGCAATATCACCTTCCTGGTAAGAAACATAGGCATTGAAGGTTGACCAGAGGATTTCCTTTCACTACATTCAAACCATATACTGTTTGCCAAGCTCTTGGTGATCAGTATAGGTTCAGCATTCTAGAATTCCTAAATTTGAAATATTTCAAAATCTAAAATAGTTCATATGGGTGGCTGAGGTAATGGCACAGACTTTGTTTCATGTACAACATTATTTGAAATATTGTATAAAATTACCTTCAGGCTATGTGTATATCACAAATCTCATGTGCAAGGTAATTTAGCCAAAAAAGGCTAGTATTAGACTCAAGTAAATACAGTATTTATGACATGTTGTAATTAATGTTATACTTGAGTATATATACGTCAATCTCATATTTAAGCCAACAGCAGCTTTATAGGCCAAAATGATAAATTTTGATATGGCCTGCGAATAAGTCGAGGGTCATTCTGCACAGAGAATAAAGCACCAATGTTGACACAAGGAGCCAGTCACCACTAGCTACTACTGCCACCATTTCCCCATCCAGCCATTCAAAAAAGCCAGAAGTAGTACCACAGTGGAAAAGGTAAGGGGAGTGGGGGGTCAGTGCTTCTTTAGGTTGTCCCTAGGTGGGTGAAACCCTTGCCTTTCACCAATTTACTCAGAGAAGGAGAGGGTTCCTGTTTGAGAAGAGTTTAGGAAGAGTATTTACATTGATGTGCACATAAATTAACCCAGGTTTTTTGGGTTGATTTTTAATTAAATTTTCTAGACTTATACATGAGTGTATAGGGTATTAAAATTATGTATTATGGTTAAATACAGGCAATATAAATATAAAACAGTATTTTGTATTTAATTAACATGTTTGGAAGCTCAATTATGGGAGGATTCAAGATACATTTGAATTTAAAATAGGAGATATTTTGGATGCCCAAATGGCATCAAAGATTATAGTTTGGAACAGGAAAGGGCAATAACTACATAGCACCGTGGGAGATAATCAGCCACACTGAGCACTATGTTGTAAGCAAGGTGATATCATGTTATCCTATTACAGCAGAGGTGTCAAACACATTTTCATCGAGGGCCACATGACCTTTACTGCGTCCATTTGTAATTGTAACACTGTATAAATGTAACTAAGTTGCCCTGGCATTGACAGCCTTGTGGACCACAACAAATGATGTTGTGGGCTGGATTTGGCCTGCTGGCCTTACGTTTCATACTTGTGCATTAGAGAAACTAAGGTGGCTCCTTGAGACTGAAAATATGGGTTGTCAAAAATGCATAATGTATGGGCCATTATTTATTTTGTCCTTTTTCTGCCAGGGTTGGGGAAAGAGGGTTATAAATTTTTTAGTTCACTTCCACAAACATCTTTGTTGGTCTTGGTTAAGGTAAAGGTAAAGGTTTCCCTTGACATTAAGTCTAGTCGTGACCAACTCTGGAGGGTGGTGCTCATCTCCATTTCTAAGCTGAAGAGCTGGCATTGTCCGTCAATGCCTCCAAGGTCATGTGGCTGGCATGACTGCATGGAGCGCCGTAACATTCCTGCCAGAGAGGTACCTATTGATCTACTCACATTTGCATGTTTTCGAACTGCTAGGTTAGCAGAAGCCGGGGCTAACAGCAGGAGCTCACTCCACTCCCCGGATTCAAACCGCCGACCTTTCGGTCAGCAAGTTCAGCAGCTCAGTGGTTTAACCTGCTGTGACACCAGGGGGCCCTTGGGTACTATGCAACTTAACTTGGGGATGTGTTAGATGCCATTTGTTCTTCTACTGAGGGCACCACTATGCCTTAAACTTGCTTGGAAAGAAAGGTGGCACAATGTTTCGTATGCCAAAATACAACTTTACACTTCTACTAGTGTTATTAAAAAAAACCCTAAACAGACCTATGGTCTATTACAGTTGCCTTGAATCATGAGAAACCATAGTAAGGTCATGTAGATGTGACATATCTATCCTCCAGCTTCTTCTACGGCTGCATCTAAACAACAAAGCAACTAATGAAGATCTCCAGTGCACACTTAATGATACACAGAACCTCTAATGTTGTATACACAGCAAGACCATGTGGGAAGCATAGCAAAGTCAATTAAAAGGTGCGACAACTTAATCAGATGAACATGCAGGTGTGCATGCCAAGCCCTTCATCAAGGACTCCACCTAATAATTAACAACCACTGAAGACAGACAAATTAATGTTTTGCTTTCAGACGTATACAGAGCTGTATTACACATTCATTAAAAAATAATCATCCTAGGGATTTAAAATAGAAAATGCTGACTGAGCTCAAACAGTATTTACTGGCATTCCCTAAAGCACTGTAGCCGGCTACTTACGGTCAACTGGAAGTCTCACATTGTGGAAGTTGATGTTCTTGGCTAGGATCCAGTTGCCCGAGACAATGAAGATCTCAACGAAAGCGACAGCCAACATATGACAGAGTAGTGTCATGCTCTTACCAAACACAGAACAGCTTCTTACATCTGAATAAAAGGTGGGAGGAGAGCACAGGCCATTTAAAATACATGAAAAGTGAGAAAATGGTTCTGTTTGGCATTCTCTCTACAATATCTTATTCGCAAATGTACTATCACCACTGCCAATACTCTTGATGCCAGCAATGACCGCGCATAAAGATGACTTTTGTGATACAAATCTAAGCTGCTACTGCCTTCTACTGGCCTGCATTTGATGCACATTACAGCATTATTTTGCTGTGCTCTAAAGCAAAAGTCCTAAAATGTGGTGGTTGTAGCCAGCCAGAAAAGCATAAGAAATAATTCCATAAGATGAAATGCTTTAGAAGTAAGGAGTTGTGCAGACTTCAATGATTAACTCCCATAAACTGTCCATGTCATATTATGATATTATATAAATATTAGTGTCACCTCAAAATATAGGCACAACATGCTATCTTTATCCCAGTTTTTACTTATTCCAAAGCAAATACAATAGTGTAGCTTCAGTAAAAGAAGCCGAGTCAATTCCCACATGCAAACATACATATCCATGATTTTTTTTTCAAAAGCAAAGATACTTAAATATTAGCAAAAAATACTGTATTAGCACCAAGTAATAATGGCCTAATTTCAAACTTAAAATCACAAGATACAGTATTTTAAGACAGGAAAAGAGATCCTCAAGCTATGAGGGATCTCTTAAGTAAGTACAGATGGGCTTAAAGCCAACCTTAAAAACTGTGGCATAGACACTGAGAACTGGGAAGCCCTAGCCTTCAAGTGCTCTAACTGGAGGTCAGCTGTGACCAGCAGTGCTGCAGAAGTTGAAGGGGCACAAATGGAGGGCAAAAGGGAGAAATGTGCCAAGAGGAAGGCACATCAAGCCAACCCTGACCAGGACCACCTCCCACCTGGAAACCAATGTCCTCACTGCAGGAGAACATGCGGATCAAGAATAGGACTCTACAGGCACCTAAGAACCCACCATCAAAACACTACACTTGGAGGACCATCATCCTCAAGCTATGAGGGATCTCTTAAGTAAGTATAGTATTTTAATATCCTGCATTGTTGTAAGAATATATCAAACAATTTAGTCAACCCATTAATTCTTCATTTTCAATAAATACAGGTGTCCATAAACAGTATGAAAGAAACCTAGAATCCACAGGTACTAATGGGCAGAAAACTCTCCTAGGAGGGCCATTAAAGACCTTTCTCCAAGAATCACAAGTCCTTACTTATAAAATGGCTAGTGGGATTTAATGGCAACAGTACCATGTATTGTGAGAGAGGATCTTTTGCAAAAACTGCATTCATTTCTTCAGAGAGTAATTTGAACCAAATATCAATCAAAGGTTTTGCAAAATAAAATAAATATAGAGCACAGGAAGACAAGGAAGGCATCAAAAGTCAAACCATTGATCTGTTTCACTTATTACTGCATTGCTTGCCAATATATTTTCATACTTTTAGACAACAATCTTTCTAAACATAGCAGGAGTTTCTGAGAAACATACAGGTAATTCTGAGCTACAACCTTTGCCAGAAATGACACAAATGTATATTGTTCAGGAATGGCAACAGATAATACAATTTAAAAAATTGTATCGGTTTAGTTTTAAAGCCCCGAGTGGCGCAATGGCTTGAACTCTTCTACCAGAGGACTGCTGCCTGAAAGGTCAGTGGTTTGAATCTAGGGAGCAGGATGAGCTCCCATCTGTCAGCTCCAGCTTCTCATGTGGGGACATAAGAGAAACCTCCCACAGGAGTTATTTATTTCTTCATTTATTATTCCATTTATATACTGCTTTTCTCATCCCCGGTGGAACTCAATGCAGTTCACAGCAAAATAAATGGCAAAATTCAATGCCTCACAAAATATAAATACATCACATAACTAAAATAGTATATAACAATAGATTAAAATCAGTAAACTATAAAACATAAAACACTGGACATAGACAAACATAAAACATTAGCACCAATCCCAATGTTATCTTGACTACTTGATCTCACTCCCCCATGCTTGCTCACACCTGGTATCACCTGAGCAACATTATTATTATTATTATTATTATTAACTTTATTTGTACCCCGCTAACATCTCCCGAAGGACTCAATGCGGCTTACAGAGGCCAAGGCCTCAATAAAACAACAATACAACAATACACATAAACCATAAAGCAAATCAAAACATTAAAGCAATAACAGTAACAGTTAAAACAGTACACCATAGCACAATAAAACTAAGGCTGGGCCAAGTGTAAATGGGTACAGATTAAAAGTGCTGAGTATGACAGTTGAAATATAAGGATTTTGGGTAAGTACAATTTTGGGTAAGTACAACATCCTTGCAATCGGCCAATTCTCTCACACCAGAAGCAACTTGCAGATTCTTAAGTAGCTCCTGACTTGAAAAAAAGTTTTAAAGCATAGAACGGTTACCATATCTGCATTGGATAATGTAGATAATAGCAAACCTTATATTTTGATTATACAATGGCCAGAAGTATACCATCCAATGGCACTGGAGGACTTAAAAGGGGCCCACAAACACTTTCAGGAGATAATATATTTGGAGTGTGGTTAAGTGAAACTGTGAATATCGAGTGCACATACTACATAATGATACTTTGACACTACACTATACAATATTGTTTATGGTCAAAAGCAATGTTACAAGCATAGAAATAATACAACTTTAAAAAAAACCTGTCATAGCCTAGGATCTAAAAGTAGAATCGATCTTGTAATAAAGTAAGTTGTCAGTGATGATTCAATCTTGGTTGATCTGTCTTTTTCTCTCCTTACGGGAATGTCTCAAGCTTACTGATTTATTGCTTTCCACTACAGTGTTCATTTTTCTAAACATCATGTTGATAATGGTGTCACTAGACATTACTGGGCCCCATTTTTCTAAAATCTTTTGTGGTCCTACAGTTTAAGGATTATCATTTTGAGGATATATGCAAAAAAAAAACAACAACCATGTTTCTACAAACGGAGTATTTTTGTCATGTTCATGTAGAGTTTTTCATAGTGTGTGATAGTCCAAGTACATTTAAATTATGTTTGTACATTTAAATATAATGGTGTATCCTAATCTATTAATGGTTTTGTCATGCTACTATTGTATCAAGAGCACTACACTGTTCACATTGTGTGCATTGAGTCACCTTGGTTCTCACTCTGGGGAAAAATGGCATACAAAGAAATAAATACTATTTGTTATTGTTGTGTGCCTTCATACTATTTACAGTTTTTGGCAATCCTAAAGTGAACCTATGGTGGGAGATTATTTTTTTTGCAAGAATTGTTCACAGGAGTTTTGCCACTGCCTTCCTCTGAGGTTGAGAGTGTGTGGCTTGCCCAGTTTCCCACTGGGATCATGGATTCAAACCCTAATCTTCAGAGTCATATGCCAACACACATACCATCACACCACACTGGCTTTCACTGCATGTATACAAGAATATTGTTAGCACAGTTAAATACAGGTATTTCACCAACAAAATTTGACATATAGCAACTGGAACTTTTAGGGACACAGTTTGGTATCACCACTAGATGGCACAGGCTAAGGTCAGAGCTACAGTTCCCAAACTATTTTTGTACCTGATGATCTGAAATTTATCCATTTGTGATGCTGAGAACCAGCCTGTGCGCCATCTCTCACTCAATAAGCCAATAAAAGAATCAAGTTAAGTCAAGTTTTATTAGGTAACAATCATTAGCCATTACAAATACAGGATGGTGATGGGATGCAGCATTAAAGCTAGTATTATATGTATTACAGATTATCTCCATGCACAACACATTTGAGAAGAGAAGTCTTGATTCTTTATAGCAAATCCATGACAATCTTGAACATCAAATGCTTATTCCCATCTATATTTCAAACAAATTACAAAGGACTCTAGTAACATGCAACATTCACATTTTAGACTCATCTATACCAACATGATAGCATGGAGCCTGAAAAGGTTACATATTTGGAATAAAAATCCACACATGGCGCATGGAATTGGCATGAAAATGTGACTTTTAAGCTGTGATTCAACAGGACACATGAGCACAGAAACATTATTTGCTGCTGATCTCAGTAAACAGGGCTGAACTTGTTAAGGCAATTACTGTATTGCCACCCCACCCAGAACAAATCCAGATACATACAAGCATCTTGCAACAATATTTTTAGGGATAAAAATAAACAAAAGGAAAGAAAAGGAAGATGTGTGCCTAACATCTGCCTGCCCCACACAGGAAAATCAGATTGTTTCTTCCTCCTGAGTAGAGGTTTGGGGGATTACTGAGGTCTTTCACACTGACCCCTGAGAGTGTGGGTCAACATCTCATTTTCATTAGCTGGTAGCTTCCATGTCAATTGGGTGATGAATGCATTCCAGATTTTAGGCTGAATTTCAAAGGATCTATCTAAGGTACTGAAACTATTTTAGGAACAGGGCTTTTCCTCCAGGATAAGGTAAATGTAAAGGTTTCCCCTGTCATTTAGTCTAGTTATGTCCAACTCTGGGGATTGGTGCTCATCTCCATTTCTAAGCTGAAGAGCCAGCACTGTCCATAGATGCCACCAAAGTCATGTGGCTGGCATGACTGGCATGGAGCATTGTTACCTTCCCACAGAAGCAGTACCTATTGATCTACTCACATTTGCATGTTTTTGAACTGCTAAACTGGCAGAAGCTGGGGCTAACAGCGGCAGCTCACTCCACTCCCCGGATTCAAACTGCCAATCTTTTGGTCAACAAGTTCAGCGGCTCAGCGGTTTAACCCGTTGTGCCACCAGGGGGCCCTTATCATCTAGGATAGTCTCTTTAAAATTTGAATTAAAATTCACGTTCACTACATCTCTCTACCATGGGTTCACCAGCAGCCACTGCCTCTCATTGTTGGAAAAGGACAGAACTTAGTGAGTAGAGCAGTGGTTCTCAACCTGTTGGTCCCCAGGTGTTTTGGCCTAAAACTCCCAGAAATCCCAGCTAGTTTACCAGCTGTTAGGA